CACACACACACACACACACACACACACACACACACACACACACACACACACACACTATGACATATAGATGTCTTACATCTGACTCTGGCTCTCTATCTCTGCTCTCCTCTCCTCCTCTTCTCTCTTCTGTTTCTCGTCGGTGTTTCTCTTGCTCAGTGTCCGGCCGAACATGTCGGTTCGGTCGGGGGGTGAGCCACCTCTGTCCCTCCTGCTGTCTGACCTCGAGCGGGACCTTCTGCTCCTCTTCAGTTCCTTTGACCTGCTCCTTTTCTTGCTGGATTTGGATTTGGATCTGGAGCGGCTCCGTTTGCGGCTGTGTTTTGAGTGTTTGGAACGGGACGCGCTGCGGCTCCGGGAGCGACCCATATTCTGCACGAATAAATCCGACTGAAACCGCTAAAGAGGGTCTTATGAGTGCAGCACGGTCTGCAGCGACCTCGTGTAATATTATGTGACGGCTACCTGTGTAATTGTTTAATATAAGCTCGTTTAATCAGAAATTTGGCTGTTTTCTGCTCCAGTGAATCTGCGGAATCAAACAATATGGCGACCGCCTCCAGTCTTCCTTTTCCCAGAATGCAACGGGTTCGGCTCTTATCGGAAATGTCCGGGCTGATGCCGAGTGGGTGAGCAACACGAGACTGGAGTCTGCGGAAGCATGAAGGCAGAACTCGCTGAGGTATCTTCACACAAAACCACGTCGATGACTACAAAGCAGAAGCCCTTTTCCCCCCAAACAACTGCATGCCTCACAGTATTTTAGTACTACACAACGCATTATAAGCGGTATACAGTTGTTATTGTGGATACAACTGCATATTTTGGCAAATCCAAAGGTCATCCAGGTGGTCATGAAGAAAAAAGGTCACTGTCCACATTATATTCTGTCCACATACTGTATGCAACATTATTTCTTTAAGCCAATGAGTGGAATACTGTTTTTTTTTTAAGTAGGCTAGTAAGTGAAACAGTATTCCACACTAAAGAAGAGTAGGTATATGCTACTTTTTGTCATCACATTACATATTTAATGAGTGACATTTCAGTTACCTTTCTAGAAATAAATGTAATTTTATGTAAAATGTCTTTTTACATTTGACAGTCTGATCAGATAAGCTAAGAAAGAGATAAAACCACTGATCTATAATAGAGAATTATATAATTATATATAGATCAGTGGATAAAACTCAAAGTAGATAATACTACCAGTTCATCCAAGCTGAGTTGATAGGTTAAGTCAAGCACATTGCAGTGTGGATACAGTAGGCTATTCCAAGCATTTTTGCAAATGTAAGAGTATTATGCTATTCCGATAGCCACTTTTTCCAAATGTCAGAGGTTTGAAAGAAATACAAGCTGGTTAACAAGTTATTATCTAATGGGCAGGTCCAGACAAAATCTACAGACCTTTTTGCATCGTCTCCACTGATTTTTGAGGTTGCTGAGTGGATAAAAACTATAAAATGTGTCAAATGGAGCTGAGTGTTCCACACTCTTATTGATAGCTAAAATAATAAAATTAACCGGAATGTAGGGCCTAATAAAAAGACACGTGGTGTGCAATGTGTTGTGAATGACAGGAATGCAGAGCTTTTTGAGGAATTCTTCAGGTGCAGATTCTGTTTGGGCCTGCTAACGGGTGATTTACTGGAACGTAAGAATTTCATTGTGCAGTGCAGTCTGTGCAACTGAGAACATATACCTAACAGCTTACTGTCAACAATCTGGTTAGGCAACAGTCTACTATGCATTCCACAAAATAATAATCAGTTTCTTGCCCACTTGTTTTCGACAAAATCTTTCTGTGTACCATTCTGCTGGTCCTGTTTTAGCACATTTTGTTGGCTTCCTCGAGAGATAAGCTTATGCTAGCTCCATATGAAGACCAATTCATAACTTACTCTATTTTTGTCAGGCCCATTTGCTGACAGAACGGTCATTCTAAGATTAGGTCCAAGCCCATTCGAACTCCAGGGGAGCATTGTGACAGGCAGTTGCTTATTCTGATAAACTACAGGCTAAAAATATTCGGCCAGGGCTATTTTAAAACACACATGAGCAAAGCCATAGTGACTCCGTTTTAAGAACTGGGAAAGCGGGTCTAGATAAGAGCGGGAAAGATGACTTTCTCTTTTGTTTTTTCATGCCAAGAAAATAAGGGTTGGAATTTTGTATCAGTCATTGTCGCTCAATTTTCACACAAATTGTACAGTTCTGTGTAGGTCTCAGTATGTTATGTCTGTGTATGATTTACTTTATTTTGTGGAAAACTAAAGCCTTTTTAACCAATGGCCATAGTCCGAACATTTGCAAAATAATAATTTAAATTTCAGTTTGTTTTTCACCAAACCACATCATATGCCCTCAGATCACGACATGAGTGACCTGTGATACCTTTGCATCTTTTTCTTTAAAGTTTGAAGCAGGTCGCTATTCACTGCTATTATATAGACAAACAATTCATTTTTCTCTTTATAAACTGACACTTTATATTGTCACCACAATATATATTGTCATGCTGCCCAGCCCTATATCTTCTTTTGCGTTCCACATAAGAAAGAAAGTCATACAGGTTTGTGTGAACTATCCCTTAAACATTTATGCACTAACCACTAAGGGTGCAGTGGTTTTATGGTTCAAACTCAGTTTCTAGGTGCTGGTTGTATAAACTGCTTAGACTAGACTTAAAAGTTAGTCATCTAATTTTTTCTTCAAGACTGGTCATTAGTCAGATACATAAAAAGGTAGATGAGTCTAATTTGAAAAGTAAGACTGATAACCACTTGGTTAACTGCTAGTTGGTCAAACTAGGTCTTAAGACACAGTGGCTATATTTATGTTTACTGGCTCCAGGTCATAGGTCACATCTTTGAGCCCATAATTTATTGCCAGATACCACCAGCAAGAAGAGGCGATAGTATTTGAAAAACCTGTACACTCCAGTGTTACCAGCATCACCTCAGCAAACTCTTCTTGAGCCTGTTCATCGTTCAGTAAGGTGTGTTGTTGTAGTTGAAGAGAATTTGTTCCGTGTGAATAAGAGAAAGTTTTACCTGAGTTAGTTCGGTGTCCATGGTCATTGTAACAGAATAATGAACAAAGTTGCTTAGATGAATAATCCAGGATGAGTGGGAGAACACTGTCAGCTTTGAGATGAAACTGAGTATTTCAGGAGAAGTTATGCTAGGGATTTGTTTTTACTTGAGGAAGGACGTTTTAGTGGTTTTTCATGTTAATTTCCTAAACACAAACAAACTGTTCTCTGTTGTTTTTCCAGAGTATGTAAATAGTATTATATGTGTCTGACATAATAAGCATCAAACTAAATGACTTATATAATATACAGAATAATATACACAAAGTTGCTCAGATGAGTAATCCAGGACAAGTGGGAGAACACTGTAATTTTAGGCTGAATTTGAGATGGAACTGTGGATTTCGGGAGAAGTTATTATTGAAGTGAACGTTTCAGATACGTAGTTCAGAAAAGCTAATACAAAGAACATTTTCGCTTTCTGGAAAGCAGCAGTAATAGTTGGTAGAGGTTAGAGATTTCATTTCATTTGAGGAAGGATATTTTAGTGGTTTTTCATGTTCAATTCCTAAACACAAACAATTCTCATTCTTTTCTATAGGAAGTCAACAGTATTATATGTGTCTGACATGATCAATGAGCATCAAACTAAATGACTTAGCTACTTCCCAGCTGCTACACTAAGAACGACAGCATTTCCTTCCAGTGGAGTAACGTCACACAAAAGACAGACACCACCGCTACCTTAGGCCAGATCACTCGCTTTCAATCGAGCCATTTTACAATTCTCAAACATATTAACCTCATCTTTAAATGATTAGTTGAGCAGTATAATGCTGCTGCTTTTTCCCGCTCTTCCAACATGAATGGCCTTCATGCTACTCGAGTTAATGAAAAGTCGCGGCGCTCTTTCTTCCCCCTTTTTTGCTCGTTTGATCAAAGATGGCCTCTCCTCTCTGGCTAACCTCGCCTCTCAGTTGGCCATAGCCTCTGTCTCTTGAGGGTGAGGGCACTTAACAAACACAGGATCCCACCGCTGGGGCACATTGTCATGTTGATGTCCCAGGAGCCCTACACAAAGGGCCATTGAAGAGAGGAAAGGAGAGAAAGACCTGAGACAGAGAGAGAGGGAGAACAAGGCTCTCAGGAGGAGTTTCTTTAACCCGTCCTGCAGCGTGTGTGTGTTGAGCGGGGGAGGGTCATATACCGGCTATAGCTTCAGTGTTGTTGGTCACTGGACTGATCCTGGTCACGACTTCTTAAAGTCTCCTGGGGTTGTTTCTGCAGAGTCACCTTACTGTGTGTGTGAGGTTTCATGGAAATTCAAGAAGCTTTTCACTCCGACATGCTTCATTTGCTTGTTAACTCTGTATATGTTTCCTTTAGGCGCCATTAAAACTGTGTACCTGACATACATTGCATTAAGTTTTTCATCGCCTTTACTATTCCTCAAACGTCTCACCCTAAGAATTAAACGGTCATCAAATAACACATCCATTGTGCAGCTTATAGGAGAGGTGTGTACTGTTACGTTTGCCTGTTTTAGAGGACAAAGTGGACAAAAAAAATCAAGTGACTTCGAAAAGGGGTCTGAACCATATCTAGGTGGCTAAAAAAGGCGAATGTAACAGCGAAGACCGCAATGGAAAAAAGCCAATGGCTTTATTGTGTTTTTATCCTCAACAGTTTTTTAAATTGTAAGAGATACTTTTTATTGTGTACAGTTTATAAACTTGTCAAATACATTTCAGTTCAATTCAAAATTATAGATCTTGTCACAAAAAGTTTTGTGGAGGTTTTTTCATGTGGAAATTGACCTTATGATGTCCCATTTGAAATTTTGGGTTGAAGGGTGGGTGGGTAGGGTTGGGTATCGTTTTACTGATTTGAATCCAATTTGCAAGCTGTCTTTTTGAGGATCGATTCTGATTTGATTAGATTAGGTTTTGATTCATTTGGGTATATGTCAGTTGTAATGTATAATATTTGGCTTGCATAATATTATTGTCTGTCTGTATCACGTACAGATATATATGCTGTTATTAAGAAATGTCTACAAAGAAAAATGTATTATGGATTCCACAAAAATATTAAGCAGTGCAACATTGATAATAATACAAAATGTTTCTTGAGCACCAAGTCAGCATATTAGAATGATTTCTGAAGGAACATGTGACACTCACGATGGTAGCAATGGCCACTGACAATTAACTTTACCATTGCAGAAATAAATTCTATATTAATATAGAAAACAGTTAGTTTAAGTTATTTGTAGTAATATTAAAAAAATAAATGCAACTGTGGTGAGCATATGAGACCCAAACTTTTGAATGATACTGTATGTATTATTTTTGAATGTTTTTTTATTAAAATATTTCAGGAAAGAGAAAGAGAAATGTGGGTGTGGGATTGTTTGACTAGTAAACAACTATCCAGAACACCCTTGCAGCCATATAGAAATGCATTAAAACCACTTAGCAACCGCATAAAAACTACCCATAACATCATATAATTGTGGCAGTGATATTTGCATGGACGAACTTACTTAAAAAATGTAAAAATCTAGTTAAAGTGCTTCTCAACCACTAA